TATATATATATATATATATGTGTGTGTGTGTGTGTGTGTGTGTGTGTGTGTGTGTTGTCTACGGCACATTTGCGAGTAAAATTAACCGATCTGCACTCGAACTAGAGACGCATATTACGTTGCCATGCGATAACAGTTGTGGCAATCAACAATCACTCAAAATATTAGTTATTTAAGAATGCCTGGAAACAACGTGGAAGAAACTGGAGTCAGATAGGAAGGTAATCGATTGACGCTATATCGAGCTACCCAGGTGAATCGATCGAGGAATTTAAATCAGGAAGCTATTAAATTTGAAATAGACTACCATTTCTTAATTTTCATCTCTCAAATAATCAATCATTATATATATATATATATATATATATATATATATATATATATATATATATATATATATATATATATATATATATCCAAATGCGAGAAAGAACAGATGAAGTAAAAATCCAGTGTTCATAGCATTTACTTTTAAATAGTGCTCAATACAAAGTAGAGCAATATATTATCATTATATTTTTATTACAAATGATTATAATAAAGGCATCTTTGAAATCCCTACACAAAAGCTTTCGTGTTTCAATACTTTGATTGTATTTCTTCAGGCGATTGTAAGCAACTGTTGATTAAATGATTTTTAAAGAAATTTAAATACAAAGTGTTACCTCGGAAAAGCTTCCATAATCTTTGCCTTCAGTTCATCTTTGGTGTTACAAAGAGTTTTGTTGGTCTCTTGCTCAACTGCGCCCCACATAATAATCAAGGGGGTTGCAGTCTGGGGAGTTAGGTGGCCAGATGTCAGAGGTTATGTGGGTGCAAAAATTGTCTGACAGTGTTACGAGGATGCAATTTATAGTAAGGGATTCTACTGAGTCCTACTTGTTACTACAAAAAAAGTTTTTATTCATGAAGTAGTTGTAAAATAGAGAGATTAGAATTAGAACGTTTGGCAGATTCTAGATCATTCCAGTATATTCGAGAAAAATCTAGATGATTCGAGAAACATGTAGAAAAATGCTAGCTCCCTATAAATAGGTTTTTGAAAAAGAGTTGTCAGTTGAAGAAAGAATTTCTGCCATTATCAAATCCGGCCTTTTGATTCGAGGATTAATATATCCAGCCGAAAGAATCTCTAAGAAAAGGCGCCGACCAACAACAACCCAAAAGAGAACTTCATGAAACAGATCTGGTAAATAGAGTTTTGACTATTTTCATTGATCAAACTATAAATTAATATATATATATATATATATATATATATATATATATATATATATATATATTTAATGAAAAAAACAGACCACTTTAAGGTACCATTACAATAATTTATTTCACCAAAATCCTTTTGAAGGACTCGGATCATCAGGTAACACTTCCAACAACGAAATGAAAAAAAAAAAATGGGATTAGAAATTGATGGGTAGTGTAATTTTGTAATTTAACAGGGAGGGTGATAGTTGTAGTTAACGAGACAAGGTATAGTATAGAGAGGGGTAAATTTCATATTTCTCTTAAGCATATTTTATATTTATATTGGGGTAGGAGGAGTGACCTAATCGTGACCTATTTAGATGGTTAACTTAACGGAAATGATATATACGAATGGGAGGGTAGTAGGGGGAAAAGAAAAGGATATATATATATACTCACATTTGTGGATTTCCTGTAATAGCACTTAGATTACTTCGCCAGCCCTAACATGGTAAAGACTCACTTTCCTTCTCCTTTGTAACAGTTCACCAGTAAACTCTGTTTTCTATTTTGGATGTCACAGTTGTATATATTGTATATATTTTATCTTGTGTTTTTTGTAAATTAAATATTTATTTATGATTTAGCTCTGTGTTTTGGTAAACCCTTTTTTTTGTTTGTTACAATTTCCAACACGTAACAGACAGCCATACTCCTATTTGGGTGGCATGATGCAGAGGCATGTTGCTAGACATAGGCTCTTCCATCACCCACCCCTTGACACTGATCAGCACTTCCTCCTCAAGTCATTTAATGTATGCCTCTATGTTGAGTCTGAGGCCGTGTGGGAAGGTGAATGGAGGGATAATATCGACTTTCATAACGATCACTCCAAAGAACTTCGTGATCACCATTAGACTCATCCAACTCTTTCCGAATCTTCTGCACTGTCCTCAGATTGACACAAACACTCTGAAATATCCATAATAGAGCTTCCGGCGCAGTACTGCATACCATTTCCGAATTTCTGGCAGAGTGAATTGTGCCATGGTACTCTTTTTCACACAGGTGGAGCCCAACTGACCCTACTATACTGTGCAGTTGGAAAAATCAAAAGTCAACAAGCAACGCGATTGCACGAAATCAAAAATATAAAATGGCGACAATTTAACCATCGCACCCTGTATAGCCGATCACAGCGTGTAAACTATACCACGGGTTGACCCATGACTTGTGAGTGATATTGGGTAGACATAACTATTTGGGAGCCGACGATGGTTGAGCTCGCACGAATTACCAAGTCATCGTGACCGAGTGTTTCAGCGTACTGACCTTTGTTCATCACGCCAGATAATGCTCTCTCCCCTATCATCTCTCTCAGAAAATTATATTAAGGTCCGCTCCGCATAGTTTCGATATAAACCACAGTTGGGCTCTGTGGGTGATGAACGAAAAGAAATGTACCTTAGAATGCATCTGTAGTAGTGATTGGCAAGACGCCATTATCGACAATCGGTTGGCCATGTCAAATCACTACATTTACATTTTATCTTACGTAGTCTGCATATTATTTTTCACAATATCTTGGACTGATTTTAAGTTTGGATTAAGTTTAAGCGTCAAGTAATTTTTTCTTTCTCTTTCATATTTAACAACTTAAGTCTTTGGTAGTTTCAACCAAGGAAAGATTAATAAACAAACAACGTGTTAAAGTTATCGGAGCCTATTACGAACATGGACGTCTAAACAGAAAAGCATTCTGCACACATCGCGATGTTTTGGTAAATATAATCGACAAACCGAGAGTGTAGTTAGAAACGATGTAACCTTCTTGTGGAGGGGTTCAATTCGTGCGCACGATGAGGAACAAAGGTGTCTGAATTTTTAGCAGGATTCTCGTGCACGACAGCAACGATTTCAGCTGAACGGCGTAAACAAGTACGCAATGGTGTTTTCACATCTGCCACCGACCCAGTTTGTTTGAATTTACGAACAATTTTTCCAGTTGCACTCTTGAAACTTTAACACGTTATTTGATTTGATCGTTAATCTTTCCAAAAAGTAAAAATTGTTAAATCTGAAAGAAAAAGAAAAAATCATTAGACGCTTAAACTTATTTATTGAACATCAAATATATATATATATATATATATATATATATATATATATATATATATACAGTGTAACCCGGATATAAGAGAAACCCGGATATAAGAGATTTTCTCTGGTCCCAAATTAGAGCCTGTGTAAATGTATATAAAATAGACCAAAACGGATATAGAGAAACCCGGATATAAGAGACTTCTTCTCCGGTCTCGACAACTCTCTTATATCCGGGTTACACTACTATATATATATATATATATATATATATATATATATATATATATATATATATATTATATATATATTATATTCACTGTCATGGACATTGAGTTCTACCAGGATTCTATCCTCTTGGGAATATATATATATATATATATATATATATATATATATATATATATATCATCCTTCAACCACAACAAGGCGATATTTCCACTAAGACGCAAGTGGTTACCGTGAGTGGAAAAGAATGAGAAAACTTTATTGAGGAAAAAAAACAATGAAATAACAGAACGATTGAAGTTGCATTTAATTCTAGAACACTAACCATCAATTAAAGTTACACTACTACTAACCATGGGTATATCATACCCGATTTTGAAAATATCAAAAAAATATTAAATATAAATCTTTATTTCAAACATTTTACATGCTAACACTTCAAACTTTGTACTTTGAGGTAACATTAACAGGAACTGAAAAACATATTATTTAGGCAAGAAAATCAGGTACTGAAAATTGTACTCAAAAATAGGAAAATCTGCGCTGGGTACTATACACCCATGATTAGTGTTCTAGGTTTAAATTTTTGAAGATTTTACACGGAAAAGAAGCAAGAAATCGCAGACGGGAAGTGTGAGAATAGGAACTATTAGAATAGAACTTCCGGTTGCATCTAGCTATTGCAACAGTTAAAGGATGATACCTAGTTGCCAAACTTATATTCAAGCGGTTGTGGTACCAAGGAGGTGAGGTCATTAGAACGACTGCCATGAAAAAAAAATATATAGAAAAGACAAAGGAGGCCACGTCACAATGATGGGAAATTGACTAAAGCTGATATGCAAGGTCAGGACCGATAACATTGCAGAACCTTCTTTCGATTTTGTCGAGAATACAGAGACATATAGCAGATTTATACATATGGAATTCAACGAGAAAAACCGTCTGGCACGACACAGTGAACCAAATCCTCTGTCAGCAGAATTAGAATTTGATTATCATAATGGCTCAAATTTAGTAGAAAACGTTTCGCGCGTGTTACCTTTTCGAAAGGATCAGGGTATGACATAATTTTCTAAAACGGAGATCAGCTCGCTCACACCGAGACCACACTATGCCTGTTTTCTTTATTATCAGCTCTGCTAAATAAGATGGTCAAGGTACTTCCCAACCTATAGTATTTTTTTTTCATAATTTTAACCTATTGTAGCCAAGTTATATCGGATATTTTCAAGAAGCAGAATTACTCCAGTTAGCCACTTGCCGATAGCAAGGCGCTGGGCAATGGAATTTATATGCAACTTGAACTTTAAGAAAAAAAAAGTTTTCTTACCTTGCCCGAGTGCCATCGTGCGAAGTGAGAACAAACTGGCTCAATGGGAAAATGAAATCGCTTAACCGATTCCATTTGTGTGTTGTGTAACGTGACGTCAACCAAATATGATGATTGCTTACTTTTTTATGTTTTATTTTATTCACAGATTGCAACCATGACGGTGTCATTGAATGGGACGACTTTGAACTGGCCATCAAAGTAAGTACCAAATCTTTTATTCAATATTTCTATCATCCTCCTCCTTATATATTCATATATTTACATATCCATCTACGTTAACTTATAACATCGCCCTGCTGGCAGAGCTCCGAATGAACCGACTCCGCACACTGGTGGAAACTTTCATCATTCGGCTACAAACCAGAACTCTGTCTACCATCATAATTCTAGTGTAAACTGGACTTACAACTATCCGTTAATACAAGCGTAATTCGTACTTGCGTTTAATATTAAGACCTCAAATATAAAACGAGTTTCGAGCTCAAAAGAAAACCGAATCTCTATCTTTTTGACTTGAGGAAAAACCTTTTTTTTCCAACGTTTTAACTCGGTGGAAGAAATCAAGGGTTCAGTTCGAAATTGCAAAGAATGCATGAAGAAGGCCGGAGCGAAAAACAGCCGAAGCTTCGTAAATATGGCAATAAATATGAGGCCAAAAGTTCGAACAATGTAAATAATGTAAATAATTACAATATCTCATCTCAGAAATATAGACATGTTTTAATTCTAGTATAAAACATATCTATATCCATTTTTTTTCACTCTAATGAAAAACAGGCTTGCGTTTTTGTTTTTCTTTTAGACTCTAGTAAACCAGACACGTGACTAATTTTTTGACTAAAGTAAATTGGACCTATGTCTATAGTTTTGACGCTAGTGTTAACTGGGCCACCAACTTAATCTGGACCAGCGTCTACCGTTCTGTCTTCCATGCAAACCAGACTAGTGTCTACTTTTACTCAAACGTAAACCGGAAATATGTCTGCCTTTTTGAGTCCAGTGTAAATCGAACCTATATATTTTAGTGCAGTGTAAATCGAACTAAAATCTGGCAAGATGGTATCCTCGGAAAAGGATGTCGGACACAGAACTAGTGTTGCACACAGGGCATTTGGAAAGTTAATCAAGCACATATCCAAAGATCTGAGTTTGACAATAAAACTTATTGAACACTAGCAGCATGGCCCGATTCAAAAATCGTACGACTCATACAGCAATCGCTATCACTTGACTTTAAATATTTTTGCCCTTCCTTGCCTTTAAAGGAGTGGCCTTTGCCGTGCTGATGTTGTTACATGCCTTACTTCTTGCCTACCTCACACTGCGAATTTTTCTAAGTCGCATTATTTTTTTGCTGCCACCTTCCCTGTAACTGTTACATATGATGTGACACCAGACTGTTTCAAGAATCAAACTTCGCAAAGAATACTGGGATGAAGACAAAGGAATTCTAGCTCACCCCCCAGACACAATATTGGTTCTTGATAGTTTAAAATCTCTCTAAATATCAGCAAAAGTACCAGCTCAACAGGCAAATTTGCCGTACTGATGTTGCTACATGCCTTACTTCTTGCATAGCTCACACTGCAAATTTTTTCGAAGCTCTATACTAAACATTACGAAAAAAGAACTAAACAAAATGAACACAAAACGATCAGCTTCAAAAAAGGACTCGTAACTGGAAAAACCGAATGAAAAAAGAATGTTAACAACAAATACTTTTTCACAGGCAACCCAGGTCTGCGGAATCAGAATCAACGTTGAGTTTAAGCAAGCGAATGAGCCAATTGGAGTAAAGTGCCATGCAGATTTAAATTTTGCCCACTTGTGACGCATGCAGCTATCGATTTTTTTTACATGCTAGCATGCTAGTTAACATTCGTGTCAATCTGCTGTTGGCTCTCACGCTGGCCAATAGAATCCTCCTGCCTATTTGTGGCAGCCAGCTATTGGCTCTCACTCTGGCCAGTACAAAATGGCCGCAAACTACATGAAAATTGCCGTAGAAGCATGAAAAAAATCGATTATTTCCACTATCGATGGGAGTTGGCAAATGCAAACCGGTTTTGGCCTTGCCGCCAACTTGGTGCATGTGCATGCAATTTTTGGTGCAATTTCGTCGAAAATTGCGGCCGTGCATTCGTTGCACACACACACACACTCATTCTGCCTTTATATATATATATATATATATATATATATATATATATATATATATATATATATATATATATATGAGGTGAAACGAAAAATGAATTTAAAATTTTAAATTCAATTTAAATTCATGTTTCGTTTCACCTTTTGAAAGTGAAGTCTGAAGATCCAGAGAAAAATTAAAATTCTCCGGTGAAATAAATTATTACAAATGAAGCCTTAATGTAGTCTGTTTTTCTTTTAAATTAAATTATTCACTCTGACTTAACATTGAGCTCTCAGGGTTTTATCCTCCTTGGGATTATCCATACGGATTACCACGATTTTCGTTACTTATATATATATATATATATATATATATATATATATATATATATATATATATATATTGTACAGTCTGAAAAAAATCTATCTCAGATTTTTTTTCCGCAGTATATCGAAGCTAATTAAGATATCCCTACTTAAATATACAAGGGTGTGTGTATTGGAATGGGGATAATTAATCATGTCTAAACATAGATGTGTCTAACAGAACCGGGCAAGATTTTGATTTCGCCTTACACCTCAAAGTTTAAACTTTAAAGCCGTCCTGCAAGAAATCATTCTTTCTTTCAACAAGTGCATTACATCATATATTAATCTTACACGTAGACGCATGCATGTATGAAGAGACATCAGTCCATCTACACAAGTAGCTACTCACCTTCGAGACCTGACGTTGAAACCGCATATGCCTTTAATAAATTGTCCAATAGGATTTAAAAAAAAACGTCTGCTATAAACAGGTAGTCAAAGACAAACTGTCAAGCTGTCGGATTAATACTTACCTTTGTCTACCTGTGGTCGTAACTGCTAAAGATGCTATTTTCGATGATGTACGGATTTATTTAGCCAAACACTCTTTATTTAGATACTTGATTTTTATCGTCTAGAAGGGCAGTGAAAACAGTTTTACAAGCATCAGATGAAATCGAATTCTAAATAATATATATTTTTCATGAATTAACAGTTTTTTTTCCAAGTAAGGAGATAAAGCCTCTAAGAATACAAAAGATTACTGAGACGGAAAGAACATGAGAAAACTCTAGTGAAATCAACGGACAATAAAGACCTATGATATTTTACTGTGTATAATAATACTTCAGTATAATACGACCCCGTGTTTCTGAGAATAAAACTGGGGAATAAATTACATCCTTGAGTATATTGCGACCCCATAGTACTTCTACCTGTTTATAAAGTTTTTTTTTTTTTAAATTTAAGTTTTATCATATCATCCATTAAAATCACAATGTCCTACATACATTTCACTAAAATATTTAATTTTTGAAGATTTTACAGTGTAAAAAGGAACCGGATGTTTCTTCTCTTCATTTCCGCTTCAAGAAATTATTTTCAGGAAAGATGATACCTAGAAATACCTGGTAATACATTTTAGGATGTATTTTTTTTTTATATTTGATATGACTATTATATTAATAAACTATGAAAACAAACAAACAAAAAACATCGCGCTTCGTTAAGAACGACAGGGGAAATACGTATTATCGATATTAAGAACAGAGAAAGAAAAAAATATTGCCGATATATCAAATACCTTTTGTAAACAATGGTTATCAACACCTGCCTATCTTGTGTTTTCACGGTGGAGTAATGGATAGCGGCTCGGATTGGTGAATGGGTAGCCGAGTTTGAATTCCATTGGAATCCATTACATTCATTTACGTGCTAATAACCTTGGGAAAGGTATGGAACCTCTTCTTCTACGCCCCATCTATGGATAAATATAAGGTTGGTGCAAAAATAATGACGTAATAATGTGATTTTTTAACGTCAAAAAACGACATTATTACGTCATTATTTTTGCACCAACCTAATAGCGGGACAAATTGGGTTCTATAGCCTCAGATGGCAACTGGTCTACCATAGAAAGAAATGGCAACCTATTGCGGGAAAAATCTGCCTCGTCAGTCATGTATCAAAAGATACATGATTGACTAAGCGAGTATCACGCATGGCACATAACTGACTGACTATGGGTAAATAGCAGGACAGACCGGGTTCTATAGCCTAGGATAGAAACTGGTCTACTACAGAAAGAAATGGCAACCTACTGCAGGAAAAAAAATCTGCCTCGTCAGTCATGTATCCAAAGATACATGATCAACTAAGCGTATATCACTCATAGCACATAATTAACTAACTAAGCGGATTTTTAAGCTAGCTCCCGCGGATGGCTAATGGAACCTTCAGCTCTAAAATAAAGGCACCTCTGATCTAGCTTAGAAAACAGGAATTATAATTTTGAAGAAATAACTTCCTCAATTCACTCCATGGAACTTCAAAACCTCATTTTATGTCTAATTTCGGCAATAAGTCCAATTCCGGCCAAAAGACCGATTTGGGGCGAAATTCCAATTCAGGCCCAAAATTCAGTTCTACAAATAAAATCCGTAGAACTTTAATGAGTTGAGTTCTTCAAATCCCAAACTCTGCAGAACTTCAAAACCTCACGCCACGAACCCCCTTACTTTAAATCTGATTCCTTGGCATTTTGAAGAAATAAAATTGATTTCCTCAATTCAAAATCTTTTCAGATATTCTAAAGTGAATTTAATCATTTTAAAAATTCACAAAGTTTTTGTGTTACTTTAAACTCAATATAAATTTAAAACTTTTAAAATCACTAATTTTTTTTTTTTTAGCTAATTTAGCATTTGAATCTGTAACTTGTCCCCACCACCTCTAAGCACGAATCCTAGTTCAAGCATAAGATAAAAGGTAGATTTTAAATCCTATGTGACCCGAGAGGTTTCAGATACACGGATGGACAGAGAGAATTTACCGTTTGTTTATTTAGATTATGCTGAGTGTATTCATAATCTTGCTGTTTCAAATAAGAGGTTTTTTAAGCCGAGTAAAATTTCTGAGAATGCGTGTATAATATGTCTCGCTTTTTTATCTTTAATTTTCATTCAAAATTTCTCGTATTACGCACAGGGAAATGCAGTAGATTAAAAAAAAGAAAGAAAATGGCAATTGACGTTACATTTAAACTTTTAAAAATCATAGTGAACAGCAAAGCAGGAAGAGAGTTTCACAGTCAAGAAGTACCAGAAAAGAAACGATAAGAACAAAAACTTACGAACACATCTAGCAATTTCAACATTTTAATGATGAAACCTAATGGCCAATCTAGTACAAAGCCTGAATTCATTAATTCGATGTATCTAAGAGGAAAGTAAAATTTATTTTGTAAACTAAAAAATGTGGTACAAGGCCAAGAGGGAGAATATTCTAGTCTGCAGCACGAATTTTGAGCATTCGTTGCAAAGGTTTCTCAAAGTATAAGTTTGGTAACTGATTCCATTCTTTTTTCAATGATTCTAAGAATTCTCTTTCATTTATTTCTTCACGGTTCTATCAAGTTCATCCCATGATAATTCTAGGAGGTTGCTTCAAACTTTTGAACTGTAGTATATATATATATATATATATATATATATATATATATATATATATATATATATATATATATATATAAAGATATATAGTTTTACGGGTTTTATGGGATAAAATGCTCAATATCAAAGATAGAGCGTGTGTAAATATAAAATGAACCTTGAAGTCAAAACTTAGAGGCGACTGTTTCATGCTAGACGCAATCATCAGGTATGTTGCCTCTAAGTATATCTATCTATATATATATATATATATATATATATATATATATATATATGTGTGTGTGTGTGTGTGTGTGTGTGTATATGTGTGTGTGTGTGTGAAAAATTTCTCAGAGTTAACCTGTAGATAAAGACAATATTTATAAAGGCAAAAGACAATAGGAAAACTAATATTAGCCATCGCGTTTCGTCAAATGTCGGATTTTTCAAGGCAAAATCGAAATAATGTTATTAAAACAACGTAACTATTAACAACAAAACAAATATGAATACAATAGCTTTCTTTAAATTCTTCCATTTTCTAAGGACATTTTGTTTTATTGTTAATAGTTACTTTGTTTTAATAAATTCATTTCGTTTTTGCCTTGAAAAAGTCCGCATCAGACGAAACGCGTCGGCGAATATTACAGTTTTTTACCTAGTGTCTTTAATATATATATATATATATATATATATATATATATATATATATATATATATATATATGCGTATGTGTGTGTGTTTGTTTTAGGATTCCTGTCGAGATCGTTACGTATAGGCATAAATCAATCACTTCGTCCCGTTAATGAACTGGGTTAATTAGCAGGACATATCTTGGCTATTTAGCCTTGGTTGGCAACTAGTCTCGGAGAAGGACTATGCTGAATTTAGTTCTCTGTATTCGGTTCTTTGAAAAAAGTTGTTTGATTCTGCCTTCATCACCATAATCAATGTGTGTGTATACTAGCTGTTCGGTTTTGCGTACAACTTTTCAAGTGGTTTGTTTTTAAATGTATTTTATTTCTTTAAAGTCTTATCTGTTTAAGATATCGTTTTTTTGCTGTTTGAATATTAGTAGCATTTATTCCGAGCTTCGCGACTTGAGAGTGGCCGGAATTCGAGTTGGCGTCTTTACATTGAAAAGCTGAATAATGTGAGATTTATACTGTTAGCTAAATGCATTTAAATGTAAGCGCGATGTTTTTCTAACAGGACGATATTTTAGTGTAACGGGAGAATCTTCATTAAGATATTGGGTGGTTGCCTTTTCGACACTTTGGAGAGAATCTTCTGATCAAGGCGGTGGTTGTATGACCGATATAGGTAACTGATTCATGGCAAAAAAAAACAAAGTTTTTTGGACAGTGAAAACTTTGGAGTATTTTTATTACTGGTGATTGTTGTTCATGTAAGAGATTTGTTTGTCTGATCAAGGTTAACTAATTTTTGTTTTATATTTTAGTTGAAATATATATGACCGTAATCTATTATTTATTCTGCAACTTATGTCCTAATAGTGGATTGGTGAGTCTGGAAACAATTTTAAAAAAACAAAACAATACGTCAAAACAACCCTTATTTGTAAACACTACAATCAATCAGGACATTAGAAAACTGCAAATGTTTATTAATAGATTCCGATTTTACTTCCACATTAAACATATTGTATTTTTTTAAACTAGGGGTTGAATAGGGACTTAGGTGTTTTTATTACTGGTTTCATGTTAGCAATTTTTTTTAGATATAGTAAAAAAAAGAATGACAGTTTTTAGTTTATCCGAACAGTGACGTTTATCACGTGACGATGACGTACTTGCTAACAAACAGTAATTTTAATTTATTTGTAAACAAACAGTTATTTCTGATGAAAAATTGAGGACAATTTGAAATATCAAATATATATTTTTCATAAAAATTTATAATTTTCAATTTGAAACTTTTTCTATATATACATATTAATAAAGTATACGTGGCTTATATTATATATATATATATATATATATATATATATATATATATATATTAGGTTTTTGTTATAATGCTCGTATAATCTCGTAGTTCTGGTTAATAGTATTCCAAGTAAAACACTGGAACAAAATATTAGTGATGAAAGTGCTTACTCGCATGGATTAATAATACAGTAAAAGCGAATACTGTAGTTAGTGCGGCAATCCGTGCGACACACTTTGCTACTTTTCTATGAAAGCGAGATGTTTTCGGTAACGGGACCTATATAGGATACTGTTGTTATCGCCCTGAATTTTCCTTAAGTGTTGTTGCAAACTGCTGGTGGCTATGTGACATTTTATGCTGCATTGGAGCGATATGTGACACGAGAGGCTTCTTATTAAGTAGCTATTGGTATAATCGATATATAAAATTGATTAATACCCGTAACTTCTTTTAGTTCTTAATAATATTCCACGTAAAACACTGGAACAAAAGATGAGTGAAGAAAGTGTTTAATCGCATGGATTAATAATAGAATAACGCGAATTCTTTTGCATAATCTATAAAACATAAGTGTGCATCTTCCTATATTGGTAATGCTCTCTCTAATCGAATTTGTGTGCCATACGGTATTATAGATTCTACTAATATCTGTCTTATGTTAATGGTTGTATTTTGGTTGTTTGTGAGGTAATAATTGTCAAGTAACAGATTAACTTACGAGGAAGTGTGGTGTATGTCTAACCAATGTAAAAGACTAATGTTTTTTTTATTTATTTTAGAATTTTATAATATTGCTCTTTTAATTTGCCTATTTAATACATCAATAAATACGTCAAATAAAAACTAAAGAAGTAAAAATAGTGGGGTGAGCTTTTTCCGACTTCTCCTACTTCTTATAATTTTGCATCAGCCTGTACAGAGAATGTCCGAAAAAGTAATTGCTGCATCATTTTGCCGACAAATATATACTTATATATTTTTCTATCTATCTATATATGCCTCTGTCACTATCTATCTATCTATCTATCTATCTATGTGTTGTGGTACGATCCACCTAATTTACATAGTGGAGTACCGACCATATAGATATGGGTTGGTACCGGGAAGACGAAGGAAGTAAGAAGAGATCCAATCCAGAGACTCTGCCCGACTGCGATTAAGTCAACCCATTCTACAGGAACAGTCTTCCCAAGAATATACCAAAACTAACTGTAAATATTGTGTACCTTTTCCTTGTTTCAATACATTTTGTTTACGTACATTTTGTGTTGTATTATTATTCCATGCTTATCCAAGCTTCAACACTATGTCTTTTTTTCTCTATGTGCGTGCCTGTCTGTTTCTATCTATCTATCTATCTATCTATCTATCTATCTATCTATCTATGTCTTTTTTCTCTATGTCTCTGTCTGTCTGTTTCTATCTTTTTCTATCTATATGTGCCTCTTACTATCTATCTATCTATCTATGCCACTTCCTATCTATATATATATATCTTTCTATCTACATACATATATATATATTCTATCTGTCTGCCTTTTTATATCTATCTGTGTTTGCCAGTCCATTTCTCTCTATATGAACATCTATCTATCTATCTATCTATCTATCTATCTATCTATCTGTCTGTCTTCTTTCTCTGTCTCTGCCAGTCAGTTTCTATCTATATATCTTTTTCTATCTATATATGCCTCTTCCTATCTATCGATCTATCAATCTATCTATCTGTGCCTCTGCCAATATCTATCTATCTATCTATCTATCTATCTATCTATCTATCTATCTATCTATGTCTATTCGTATCGATCTATCTATCTATCTATGCCACTTCCTATCTATATCTTTCTATCTATATACATATATATTTTCTACCTGTCTGCCTTTTTATATCTATCTGTGTTTACCTGTCCATATCTATCTATCTATCTATCTATCTATCTATCTATCTATCTATCTATCTGTGCCTCTGCCAATATCTATCTATCTATCTATCTATCTATCTATCTATCTATCTATGTCTTTTTTCTCTATGTCTCTGTTTCTATCTATCTATCTATCTATCTATGTCTTTTTTCTCTATGTCTCTGTTTCTATCTATCTATCTATCTATCTATCTATCTATCTATCTATCTATCTATCTGTCTGTGCCTCTTCCTATCTATCTATCTATCTATCTATCTATCTATCTATCGTGTTAATATCGATATACGTACATCTGTTTTGTATCTAATTTAATGTATCGGCGTCAGTTACATTCTTACATCATTGTAACCTTATGTCTAATTTCATCATTACGTCCATAAATAATTTACTTATATATCAATGGGCGTAAAAAATATATTTCCCTTTCAGTCTGTAAGCTTGGGCGTGGTTCTGTCATGTTTCTCGGCTCCAACAAGATGCGATTCCAAAGTAAAGTCCAAATGCTTCGTCATTTGGTCAGCCAGGAACATTTCCAAACTCGCCGAACATGTCCACGCATGTGAACTCATATATCTTTCCGTATATCCCTCAATTAATCTCTGCAATTACGTAAAAGACGGATCATTCTATCAATCAACGTGCGGCTGACTGTTACAACCAAGTAAAACCAATTTACTCGTCTACAGATTTCGCAAGTCATCAATCACAATTAGACAAAAAACAAACCCATTTCATCATGATAAATTCCTCCACAATCAATATCGGTACAGGCGTACGAACATATATATATATATATATATATATATATATATATATATATATATATATATATATATACGTGCTGAAAGAGAAGTATATTTCTTTACGTTCATTGATATATAAGTAAATTATTTATGGACTAAATGATGAAATTAGACATAGGTTAGAATGATAGTTGAGAATGTAATTGACGTCGATTCATTAAATTAAATAAATAAATAAAAACAGATGTACGAATATCTAGATTAACACAATAGATAGATAAATAGATAAACATACATAGAGAGACAGGCCTGATAGATATACAAAGGAGGCAGAAAGATAGATCGATCGATCGATCGATAGATAGATAGATAGATAGGAAGAGAAACATATAGATAGATAGAAAATATAGATAGCTAAATAAAAAGGCAACCACAGATAGATATAAGATAGATAGATAGATAGATAGATAGATAGATAGATAGATAGATAGATATCAACAGAATAAGATAGATCAATAGATATATATGAACATGATTAGATAGATATGAACAGAATATGATATACATGAACGGAATAAGATAGATAGATAGATAGATAGATAGATAGATAGATAGATAGAAGCCGAGATACCAGGTCAGGGCAGATACCATTGGAGATTCTCTTTTGGATACTATCGGAAATCTCTAAATACACAGAAGAATGATTTATATATATATATATATATATATATATATATATATATATATATAAATGTGTGTGTGTGTGTTTTCCTATCTCTCCATATATATATATATATATATATATATATATATATATATATATATATATATGTATGTATTTGTGTGTGTGTGTATGGAGAGAAAGGGAAAAGGAGGGAGACATACACATATATAAAAACATACACACGCTAAGTGCGTGTACACACACACACACACACATATATCAGTAACCTTGCGTCTTAGTGACTTTAGTGTCTTTCTTTTGCGTCCATATAATATTTTTATTTATATTCCTTCAGGTTTCTACGAAGTATTCATTATAGTAATTCTGATATATATATATATATATATATATATATATATATATATATATATATATATATAAGAAAAATTTATACGGAAAAACAAACAAAAATCCTTATATGCAATTATGCTGTTTTAATGTTAATATGTCAACGTCGGACGTTTCGGTCTAATAAACCATCTTCAGGACATATTCATAAAATATAATTGACATTATCAATTGATAAGCGCTGATCTTATAAAACTTTCAGTTATCTGTTTGGATAAGTCTTGTTCTTATGTACATCGTCTTTGTCATGATGAATTGAAATCAGCATAATTTCATATAAGGATTTTTGTTTGTTTTTTCCGTATATATTTTTCTTCATACTGTCGGATCTATATCCATATATTTGCTTACATAAATATAAAAGTGAACATAGAAGTCAACACTTAAAGGCGACAGTCTGTTTCATGCTATATGCAATCGTCAGGACTGACGATTGCATATAGCATGAAACAGACTGTCGCCTCTAAGTGTTGACTTCTATGTTCACTTTTATATTTACACACGCTCTATCTCTGATATTGAGCACTTTATCCCATAAATATAGCACACCTTAAGACTATATTTCTTTATATTTGCTTATATATATATATATATATATATATATATATATATATATATATATATATATATATATAAGTCATTTAATCACCAGTTACTTACTATCGCCTGGGGCACCTCGACGCGGTGTAAGTGTTAGCAAGCTTGTCTTGATAGAACAATTAAGACTGAGTAGTGAGTTCAGTCTAAAATGGGCGATCCATATTTTTCGGCCTTACTACGCTTGGAAAATCACTACTTACTATCGCTTGAAGAAGCACAACCAAATTATTGAAACATGAAAGTTTTTGCGTAGATATTTGAACATGTTTTTATTATATATCTTATAATAAAAATAATATATCTATGTATCTATATGTATATATTTATGTGTCTATATATATATATATATATATATATATATATATATATATATATATATATATATATATGTATATGTAAGCAAATATATGGATATAGATCCGACAGTATGAAAGAAAAATACAGAAAAAACAAACAAAAATCTGAATATGCAATTATGTAGTATTAATGTTAATATAAAGTCGACGTCGGACGTTTCGGTCTATTTAAGACCATCTTCATGGACATTTTCATTTAAACATAATTAACATTAGAACTTATAAAAATTTAACACAAAAGACGATGGACATAAGAGCCCAACAAATCCAAACAGATAACTGAAATTTTATACAGATCAGCGTTCCGTTTAAATATGATCACGTAGTAACAACATCGCCCACGTGACGACTACGTGATGTGTGTATGTATATATAAACTACTGTTCAAATATTTGAAGCCACTCCCATGATTAGTATGTGATGAAGACTAAAAAAATGAGAAAGAACTTTTAGAAACCTGGGAAAAGTATGGAATCAGTTATCAAGCTTATACTTTGAGAAACTTTGCAAAGAATGCCAAAAATGTGTGTTGCAGTAATCGAGGCTAAAAGAGGATATGATGACGAGAGCAAATTTTAATCGTAAAATGCTTTTTCTTCTCTTTGACATGATAAAATTTCTAATAAAATATCATGTCTCGCTTTTTAGCCATGTAGATTAATTTTATCTTATTTAAAGTACAAAACATCTGCATTTTGCGTCAATTTGAAAAAAAACATTCCAGTGCTTCCTCAAACTTTTGAACTCTAATATATATAGGTTTGTCTAGCTCTCTAGGTTTAACTATATATATATATATATATATATATATATATATATATATATATATATATATATATATATATATATATATATATATATATATATATATATATATATATATATATATATATATATATATATATATATATATATATATATATATATATATGTGTGTGTGTGTGTGTGTGTGTGTGTGTGTGTAAAAATATATAGAAAATAGGAAAGAACTCATTAGGAAATAATTTTGTTATTATTTTTAAAAAATAGTGCTAAGTAGAGCTTAGTACTTTAATTCAATTTAATTCAAATAATTATATTGAAGTTTTCGGCTCTTGTTTTGAAACATGAGAACTCTTATATAGCGTTGGAATCATAATTTTAAATAAGTAATTATTATATATATATATATATATATATATATATATATATATATATATATATGAGTATGGGTGTATATGTGTGTATATAGATATACGAATGGGTGGACACATTTACGTGAAAACATGTGTAGACGGATGCGAATGTGTTTATGGATGAAGGCACATATGTGTAAGTTTAATTATATGTGTATCTAGAAAAATGCGTATGTATGTAGTTATAATTATTTGTGTACGATCTCCGGTTTCTTCTTTCTTCTTTTCTGTTCCCCGCTTCTCCCTATTTCTTTATTCCTTTCTCTTGTCCCTGAATGAGAGGTCAACGCTACAACAATCGTATCTCCTAAAGACATATATCCCTTTCCTTCCCTTCCTACTTTGTGTAACTATCTTAAAACACAACTTCCGCTAGTCTTGTTTTTCATTTCGTTTTTCGGTTGATTCCTGGAAGAATTATTGAATACATTCATTGTTTTGAAACCGCAAGGTGCGACGAAGGGAAATCGAATTTTATCGGTCTCGTGCTATAAAATATTACCTATTTCTGAAGTTTCCGATCTGTTATATATATATATATATATATATATATATATATATATATATATATATATATATATATAATGACTGCGAATCGATTCCAAGTAATGCTTTATTTATTTTTAAATATTGGCAGCGCAGATATGGATTTTAGTTCTGCTAAGGAGTTACAATGCTAGGCACCTCTTCCTGGGGGTGTTTTTAGTCCTGCTAAGGATTTAAAATGCAAGTCACCTCTTCCTGGAGGTGTTATTAGTTCTGCTAAGGATTTGCTATGCTAGGCACCTCTTCCTGGAGGTTTTTTTTTTAGTCCTGCTAAGGATTTGCAATGCTACGCAACTCTCCCTGGAGGTGTTTTTGGTCCTGCTAAGGATTTGCAATGCTACGCAACTCTTCCTGGAGGTGTTTTTACTCCTGCTAAGGATTTGCAATGCTAGGCACCACTTCCTGGAAGTGTTTTTAGTCCTGCTAAGAATTTGCAATGCTAGGCAACTCTTCCTGGAGGTTTTTTTAGTCCTGCTAAGGATTTGCAATTCTAGGCACCACTTCCTGGAGGTGTTTTTAGTCCTGCTAAGGATTTGCAATCCTAGGCACCACTTCCTGGAGGTGTTTTTGGTCCTGCTAAGGTTTTAAAATGCTAGGCAACTCTTCCTGGAAGTGTTTTTTAGTCCTGCTAAGGATTTGCAATGCTAGGCAACTCTTCCTGGGGGTGTTTTTAGTCCTGCTAAGGATTTGCAATGCTAGGCAACTCTTCCTGGAGCTGTTTTTAGTCCTGCTAAGGATTTGCAATGCTAGGCAACTCTTCGTGGGGGTGTTCTTAGTCCTGCA